ACAGCTGCCCGGCGTTTGATTTTTCGCTCATCAGCCGCACGGGCTTCCTCTTCTTTCTTACGCCTCATCGCCAACATAACCTCTACGGTCAAGTGCTCCGCAGGTGCCCCACAGTCGAGATGAACGTTTCGTTGGGATAAATTACTGCTTCGGCAGTGGTGGCCGTGTGAGATGGAGCACAGTTCATCAGTATTGAGTTCACTGTTTCAGAGTTTCGAAGAAGGATAGTGAGTTCTTGCAATTTTTAGACGCACCCAATTCGCTTTCGGTAATTTCCAATACTTTGGAAAACGTCACCCGATCCCTCCCTCGCCTCCGTATGACATTGGACCGCTGTCCTACTGACGTCATATCCGCTATTGCATCTTGCGTCTTCGAAGTGGTAAAGCGGTTTGGGAAATTTTCGTCAAATGGAAACAATCCTGTCTTCTGGAAGGATTGGCGGATATTTTCAACCGTCACAGCTTCGAATGCATGCACGCCACATATTGTGGTCGTAAAAGGCATTGGCATTTGGACTACGACTGACTTGTTAAACTCATCGGGGGGGAGGAAGGAGGGGAGTGGGGAAGCGGGCGGCGACGGTGAGGGTAAGTGGATGGGGGAGGAGGAGGTCAAGACATGGCTGCATGCGCGACGCGCGGAGAAGTGAATTTGTGCCCAAACGGAGCCGATTTGCTGAATCTCGATCTCACCGTTCCATCGCGGCCGTGTCCGGCTGCATCGCATGGCCCCAGACGTGTCTCCCCAATCAACGCCTCCGCGTGCACCGCCGCCAGTTCTGCATACATCTTCCCAGAGCCGCGCCGTTCCACCTTCACCGCTTGCCTACCGCTTTACCTTCAAACTCCCGCGCGTGTCCGCTTCATTGTACACATTCGCCAATCCGTGCGTGACCCTCCAGTTGACCGCGGATGGTGGTCGCGCCTCGCGCGTTTCTGCACTACACCCATTGCCTCGTTGTCCCCGTGCAGTCGGGGAGCAAGCGGGAAATGCTCTCCGGGCCACAGCCGCCTGCTTTCCGATTTCTACGTGCCCGCTGGAGCTCGCCGCCGAGCTCGCCGTGATGCAGGTCAGGGATGCTTTCAGGTCGCCATCGATTTGTTGCTATCAATTTTGGAGAGCAGGGGCAGCTCGGATGCACGTCGGAGCAACGTGCCGTTCGGGGGCAGCTTGAGAGGGGCGCAGTGGGGATTGTAGAGATGGACGTGGACGGCGGGCCATTAATGAGCATGAGCAAGGGCAACTCTTCCCGCTAATTACGGGTGTTGCATGCCGGCGGCATTCGCAAAGCCATCCTCCTCGCGCTCTCCCCTACAACTTTATTCAGAATCCCTGCCACATTCGCAACAGACACGTTTCTACCCTCGCATGATGTGCAGAATCCACACATCAAGCGCGGGTTCAAAACTATCTATTGCTTGTAAGGAAACGGTCTGCACTGCAGCACGCCGCACGCGACGCCTCCCATCCGCGTTCCCGCCCTTGCCGCCAGGCAGCCCTCCGATCCGACAGTGCTGTAGCGCGTTGTAGGCGCGCGCAGGCGTCTTCCTCATCCAGTTAATGAACAGTTAATCCCGACGCCATTGAGCAGCTTCTGTACCCGCTGTTTTAGCTCCGCCTCGCCGACGTGGCCAACTGCTACCTCCGCGAACAGCTCCCGCCACGAGGAAGCGGTTGGAGGGCCACGGGAGGACGCCGTTGCTCGCTTCTGGGGGCCTCTAAGTCGTGCTATCCTGCATAGCACTTGGGGAGAGTGCATTGCGCGATGCAGTCAGGCTTTGCGGATAAGAAGGGCAGAGCGAGGGGTGCGGACAAAGGCGGGCCTCAACCAAGGTGGGGCGCTAGACGGATAGTAAGGGCGTGGGCTTGAGGGAGCTCCATGGGACTGGTCTCTTCCGAGCCCATGAATCGAAAGCAGTGCGCCAGGATTCGAGCAAGTAGGGTCACGTACGCTCCGTACATCACCGATGAACTTCGGGAAGCTTTTCAAGCAGAAACTAGAGGACGAAAAGCATCTTGCCCGCAAGCGTGGGGAATGCGAGTTTGTAAGCGACCATGGCGGAGGCGGAGTTCAGGGATGTGCGGCGGGTGTTGGAACCCTCGTGGACAGGAGAAGCAGTGACGGGGGGACAAGATGGTGGCAGCCACAGAGCCGCACAGAGCGATCTAGGACGTTGGGACAAGTCTCCTACTTTCAGAAACTAATCCTCCTAGGTGCAGTACTTTTGGCGCAACTTGGGCTTATTCGCAATGAACGTAACGTGCTCTCAGCCTTTCCCACATTTCCAACCGTTGCGTCCAGTTGGGAGTGAGGAGGGGTGCCTTTGGCATATGAGCGTCTCGTGCTTATCAACGCAAGAGACGATGTGTCCGCAGATGTAATCCTATTGCACTCAGAGAATGCGCTCTGTCGAACAAGCTGCTGCCAGAGACGCGGCCACATACCCAAGACACCCCCGCTCCTTGTGCGTATTCCACCCCCTCACGTGTCTTGCCTCAAGAGATAAATCCCCGCGGGGCGGCTGCTACAAAAATGAATGCCGAAGAAAAACACATCCTCGTCCCTTATTCTTTCTAGTAAGTATTCTTGGCTGTGTCGCACCAATCCTCACTCAGCCGCGCCTTGACCATCTGTATCTTTCATTCCACTTTGGTATTGCTTTCGACCTAGCTGCATTCGGTCCCCGTTAATGTCTTTATGACATCTGCTTCTCTTCCAGCAAGACATACGACACAGAAAATCGCACGTTGGACACGAGCCACGACGTTGCATCGCCCATTTCCTCCCCCCCCCCCCCACCGCCGCCTCCCAACGGACTGCGCTGGGATTATTCCAGCATTGAAAGGACAACCCCCGATGATTCTCGAAGTATCATCGATTGTGCGCCACACCACGCTACGCTCTCAGCAGTGGAATCCCCGGTTGCAATCCGAGGATGCAATCCGTGGTTTCCATGCTGGGAAAGCACACCGGGGACCACTTCTGAAATTCAGTCTCCATTGCCACGCCTCGATCCTCGCCCGTGCCACGTCCGTTATAGGCTCCCTTTTTCCCAACAGCCACGTGTGTATCAAAGCTTACGGTACAAAGCTGTCCAGTACCACGCCACAGAAGGCTCTTACATGTATCCACTGCAATGATCCTGTTTATCTCTACTCTCGCGATGCGGCAGCATAGCGGTACCAGGGCTGTGTACAGGCTGCAGATTAATGATGCCCGGATCAACACCGCGGCATTCTTCCGAAACCCTTGAGAGGGTTGGTGGTTGCAATGTGCAATGAGTCATGGGATCGTTGGCTGACGTCCCGACCCCGAAAAGCTACTATGGCATCGGAACTGTCAATGAAGGAGATATCGATGGTCTACTGTCGAGAAGATGGGGCATGCTCCACTGGACAACCGTGATCGTAGCTCCTCGTAAAACAAAATTTCTCTTCTTCCGCCTTTTCTCCATAACATCTGTTCTATGCCACATTTTGCCCTTTGATTCAGTTGCAAGATACGAAGGCACAATCATCGCTGCATATTCCGCCATGTGCTGGGTAATGCGAAAGTTTTTGCCTTGCGGATTGAATCCAAGACAGCATGCCTCACGAACGCTGAACCTAACTACCCGTTAAATTTTGTACATCGCCATAGTCAGCATGTGATTTTCTTGACAGCGCTCCCCTTGTGATGCATGACGAATGAGAAAATCTTTCCATCGCAACCCAACGTCGCCCTGCCAATCTTTGTAGTCAGATCCAGAAAGCTCTTTCCCAGATCCCCCGTTCACATCTCAAACGAGAGGCCTGCCACTCGATTTCAACAGTGGCGACGACGAAGACACACTCAGTATCCGGAATCTGATTTCGGCCTACTTTGAGTGGTACATACTGTGGACGTAGCGAAACAGACAGAAAGAATCGCGCCTTCACTTTTTGATAGCTCATGCAGCTCATGCGTCGCACATCGCCCTGAAACTTGTCCTGTAGTGTACATGGATGGCCCTTAGCCTCATTTGTCGCTTCCGCAGCAAATGACAACCAAAACCACGCAAGTCAAAGGTGAGTTGTGCCGTAGCTGCACAAAATCACCTTTGGCCTTGTTAGATAGGTGCGCAATCTTCTCCTGATGTTCCAAACCACCAGCCTACTTCCCTGCTACGAAAGTTCATACTTCTCTGAAGCCTCAAAGCCTGTCAACTCAACCAGGAAGCGGGCACGATCAACTCCGGTCCCAAAGGCGCACGAAGGCCCCTCCCCAACGTGCGTCAACTCCTCACCATTCCCCATCGACGTTGTCCCGTCCGCGTTACTTGGTCTCTCTGGTGCCAGTGAAATTCCCAAATAGACCTTTTTCCAAAGCTCTGCTTTGCTATCCAACCGGGAGGAGATACAGAATCTCTAGCCGTACTGGATCAGAGAAACCCAGAATTTTCTTTTATTGGTGCGGCAATACACAGAGTTTTGGAAGTGGTGGATGCATCCACCACCACCAGTCTGACCTCATTTGGGCAAGGGGAAGTAGTTTTTAAGTTTATTTAAAAAAGATGTTACCAAATTATACTTTCCTGGAAGGGTATAGTACTTTACATCTCCACTAAAGACTCAATTCTAATCGAGCATTTCTGTTACAGTATGAGTACCTGCCTAGCCGTCGCATTGA